TAGTACAACCAGAACACAGGTCTGCAACCTTATTTGTTATTTCATTGAGACATTTATATACCACCATTGTCAAATCATTCATCTTGTTTATTTATTATCAGATTTGCACCCCGCCTCGCCCAGCCGAGGCCGGCTCAGGGCGGCTTACATAAAAGAATAAAAACACACGAGTAAGCAATTTAAATAGTCCTAAAACCATATGAAACATTCCAACATTAAAAGGTGCTAACATTAACAGTAATCATTGGCCGTTTGCAAACATCGAAAGAAAACTAATAAGAGCAAAAGCTTAACAATGAGAGCCAATGTTCCCTCTAAGCTATGGAGTCCTGTGAGCAAAAATTCTACTCTGTGAGCTACTGGCATGTGAGCAAGCAATTTGGTTACTGCATTAGTTAGTCTGCTCTGGAGTCATCCTTTCTGAGCTAAGACAAAAATGTGTGAGCCGGAGGCTAAAAAACTGAGCTAGCTCACACTAACTCAGCTTAGAGGGAACACTGATGAGAGCACAATGCAATATCAGTCCAAGGGAAAAGATTTTTTTTAACAAAAGCTCAAAGAACATTTCAATGCCTTTGCTACTTGGGTCCACCCAGGTCAGTCTTCATCTACTCAGACTGACACTGGGTCTCCAGGGTATCAGGCAGAGATGCTGGGGATTGAATCTGGGCCCTTCTGCACGCAAAGCAGATGCTCTTCCACTGAGTCATGGCCCTTCTGGGGCCCTAACGGAAAAGCCCTCCCTCTGGGACGCAGCTGCTCAGGGGTAGCACTGACATCTGTAGCTGTGCAAGAATCAGGCCCCACTGCCAGACCAAGTGGGCAGTGTGACCTTATGTGCCATGGCCTCGAGCAGAACTGAGTGTACTGTAGACATGGGGAGCAGGACAGTCAGCGAATCAGTGAGAATTTCTCCAGGGAAATTAGTGTTATGATTCTAATGTTGAGGTAGCATTATTCTCCCACTCCACCCCGTTCTCTTCATCTAGTCCAACATGCTAACCTCTCCATCACACCAATTCTGCATGTTCATCTCAAGAGTAGTATAACAAGGGCATTTCGGAGGAGCCAGTCAATAAATTCAGGGACAAAAGCTATTAAAAACTAATCCCCAGGAAGCCGCTCATCCATCCAACGCCCATATACTGCAAAAAGCTATTCCCCAAACGAATACATCTGAGCTTATCACACTTGAGCCACATTAAAGACAGTGTGCTCCGCCAGTTAACACCATGGAGCTTTCTGAACTGCAAATTCTGCAGCCAGGATAATGGGTTCTTAATCGGAGACAGAGGGCTTTACGTAAGCTTTTCAAAGCCCTTGGAGAATATCATATGCATCCCAGTGCCCGCGTATAATAATCCCTCACTTACCCTCACAATCTTGGGAATCTGTCTTGGCTTCATTATGAATTTTTTCTCGGCTTAACAATCAGTTTTCTGGATTGCTTCCAATGTCCTGATTAGATAAATATTCTGCTTATCATAAATTCTTGGCTAATACTTTATTTCAACCACCTGCAAGGACAGAAGAATCTTTTTCATGACCTTCTTAGAATCAAAACTGCGACAGACCCTGGTTACACAGCCACTTGTTAACTTCCTTCTAGCCCACCCCCCAGAAAGAAACATTTCTTTCAGTCCCATTCTTTTCTCTCCCCTTCTTTCCAGGCCAATTCCAGGCCCCACATCTAGAAAGGATTTCTCTGTATACTAATTTTTCTTACTCATGTCTCAGATCCCGCCATCCCACACTAAAGTTTTTAAACCACTTGGATTTCAAACATCCACACTCCAAAAATGTCTTCTGTCCCCAAACTCTCCCCTTCTCACTCAACTCCAAATTACCAGGTTCACCCCCTCCTTTGCTACCAGCAGCTTTGGATCTTTCTGTGCTCTCATTATCACTCCCCATCAAAACCTACTTGGCACAGCCTTGTAAACGATTCACAAGCGCCTAGAAAAGCAGGGGAAACAAAAGCCACCAAAGTGTCTCCAGGAGAAAGCAAAGCAAAACATACGCCTGCCCGGCTTCTGGCCAACTCCTGGGCACGTCAGAGAGTTTGGGGAGCTTGCCACTACCTGGTGCAATCCCAGATGACCCGTTTTGGTGCCGGGTTGCTGCTTCCAGCTCAAAAAGAACTTCTGTATATGACACTCTCTCTTTCACTTCCACTCTGGGTAACCAAGGTGACAGCATTATTGTTGCTAGGTAACACAAGAACGACTCTTTTCTCCCTTCCCTTCTCTCCCCCCCCCCACTCCATCCCCTCCATACACCCTGATGGCCAGGGTTGGTTGGATGAAGGTTCACTCCAGGCCTGAGTCCTTTTCTGGCTGACTTTATGAAACACAGTGATTATTAATCATCGGAAGGTATGATTTGCTTGGTCAGTGGGTTATGTATGTGGGAAATGTGTTATTAAAAAGGAGAGGACTAAAAGAAGGGGAGGATTAGGGGACACATGAGCACATCCTAAAATTTCATAGAGGAAAAAGCATAGCGCCCCTCACGTAAACCATTATATGCATTGTGGGCTGTGATTCACACCGAAACTTCAGACACTTGGATCAAGCTTAAATTTGGATGCAGATCCTGTCTGTCCATCTCACCTTCCTTTTCCCAGAGATACATCTCACCTTCCTTTTCCCTGTCTATACTTCTTTTTCCCAGAGATACAGACATCTTTGGGCAGGTAGTGGTTTGGGGTTTGTTATTTTTATTTATTTTTTTGATTTCTTGACCACCCTTCCCTGTTTGCATGGGACTCAGGGCAGATTACAAGAAATTAATTCAGTGTATTATAAAATCAGTTAAAACCATAAAAATTCAGTATTAAAAACATTCAAAGCATTAAGCATTTAAAGGTAAAGGTAAAGGTTCCCTTGCTCGAAAGCCAGTCGAATCCGACTCTAGGGTTGCGGTGCTCATCTCCGTTTCAAAGCCAAAAAGCCAGCGCTGTCCGAAGACGTTTCCGTGCTCATGTGGCCGGCATGACTAAACACCAAGGCGCACGGAACGCCGTTACCTTCCCACCAAAGTGGTACCTACTTATCTACTTGCAATTTCTTGCTTTCGAACTGCTAGGTTGGCAGGAGCTGGAACTAGAGATGGGAGCTCACTCCATCATGCGGCACCCAGGTCTCGAACTGCTGAACTACTGACCTTCCACAGCCTGCAGTTCAGCGTCTTAACCACTTGAGACATCTTAAAACAAGATGGCAGTACTAGCATTCAGTCATGGGGGGGAGGTGCCTGGCGGAACATCTCTGCTTTACATGTCCTGCGAAACTTTAATAGGTCAGACAGGGCACTGATATCCTTTGGCAGAGAGTCCCACCAGGCTGGGGCCAGGGCAAAAAAGGCCCTGGCCCTGATCGAGGCCAGCCAGATATCTTTTGGCTTTAACTGAATGTATTTTAAAACAATAACTTTAAGCCACAAGGGAAGGTGGGGGTATGTGTTTTAATATAATCAATGGAAGTGGATAGAGTTGCCAACCCCAGGGTGGGAAATACCTTGAGTTTTGGGGGTGGAGCCTGGGAATGGTGGGATGTAGAGGTGAAACCTGGGGAGGGGCAGGGTTTGAGGGAGAGACCTCAGCAGGGTAGAATGCGATAGAGGCTGCCCTCCATAGCAGCTGTTCTCTCCAGAAGAAATGATCTCTGCAGTCTGGAGCTTGTCCTGCGAATTTACCAGTTTTGTATAAAAATGCCACAGACTGGGACTCTTGCATTTCATGGCTCTCACCATTTTCCCTCTCTGTTACACTGCCTCCCATAACAGACAACTTTAGCCCTGTTCAGAAGTTACATTGAACGCATGTACAATCTGTATACTGTATACGCTTCATTTTTAAGATACACACGTTGGGTAATTCTCATGCTATATTCAACACATGCATAGCTGAGGGTGCGATGCCAACCCTACTTTTACTCAGGTATTGGATCCCTGGTTTTAGTTGCAAACTGCACACGATGGCATAGCAGCTGGCATGGCTCTCCTCTCCTCCATTTGACCCTCACAACAACCCTGTGAGATAGGTGAGGCCGAGAGTGTGTGACTGGCCAGAGGTCCCCCATGGCAGAGTGGATTGCCAGGTCCCCCTCGGCCACTGGCAGGGGACGGGGTGGGGGGGTAGAGTTGCCAGATCCAGGCTGGGAAGCTCCTGGAGGTTTGGGGATGGAGCCTGGGGAGGATGGGGACCTCAGTGGGGTACAATGCCATACAGACCACCCTCCAAAGCAGCCATTTTTCTCCAAGGGGAACTGGTCACCCAGGGCAGAGTCAAGTAGGTTTGCCAGGTCCCCCTTGGCCACCAGCAATGTTCCCTCTAAGCTGAGTTAGTGTGAGCTAACTCACAGTTTTTTAGCCTCCGTCTCAGTTTTTTGTCTTGGCTCAGGAAGGAGGGCTCCAGAGCAAAGTAATTGATGCAGTAGCCAAATGGCTCGCTCACAACTTTAATGCCAGGAGCTCACAAAGAAGAATTCTTGCTCACAAGACTCCAGAGCTTAGAGGGAACATTGGCCACCAGCAGGGAATTTTTTTTTGGGGGGGG